TATATATATATATATATATATATATGACACTAAATACACATACACATACACACTCTTTATACAATTAAGGACATTTAACATATACAAATATATTTAAATCTCCCAGTTACACATTTCCTTTAGTAGCAGAATATCACAGTTCAATTTATTTACAGAAATAAACTTCAAAAGGAGTGCTACCTAACATGGTTGCCATTTTTTGATTTAGTAATTAAAAATAATCCAAACTCAAATAATACAGAATAATTTAGAATATGTTTAGTTTCATTTATATTATAATAAAATACAGAATATGCTCAAACTCTGAAGGAATTAAAAAAATAAAATGATGAAAATTATGTTTCTTTAATTCATCTGCATAATTATTAATAATGACCAGAAATGCATATTTAAGCTTCAAACATATGCATGCACAAAATCTTAGATTACCTAGCATTTATCTCCCCCCCCCCCACCTCAATACTTATTTTGCTCTAGAGGCAAATAGCTAACTAAATTTAGCTAATAATTACATTTCCTTTTTCTGCTAAATGTGTTTGAACATATTTATTTTTTGCAACTAAACATGTCCCTGGGAAATTAATATTAATGTTTAAAAAGCTAACAGTGCACCAATTTTAGGAACGTCTGAGATAGATTTGTATTTTTCTCACCTGCATTGTGCTTTGCTAAATATTTGTCTTTGTACTGCTTCTTTTTCTTTCCAAACCAAGTACAGCTTGCCTGCTGCTCTTGTTTAGTCTTCTCCATAGCAATACAAGCTACTCGCCTTGCAAGTGAACAGGAAACAACTATCAGCTGTACATTAAAGGTGACCTACTTTAGTATTATTAATTCAGAAAATAATATCCCCTCCCACTTTTTACTTGTAAACAGATTAAAATATTTTCAAGGTTTCAAATGGGAATTTTAAACGAGTATTCTAAAAGTACAGAGGCCCTCTTATGTAGCAGCCACTCAGGAGACTATAAAATTAACTGCAGTGTTGGAGAACTTTGTAGGATAGGAATAACACTGTAATAGTTCCTGTTTTTTAGTTATCTGAAAGGACAGGTCACAGTGGAATGTTTTCCAGTTCTCAAAACTTGTCATGGCCAAAAACTGATAGACACAAAGAGAAAACTCCTGTGACAATATTCATACAGATATAATCTCAATAAATGGGCACAACATCAATTAAGCTTCATTTGACCTCCTCAGTTGAATTATCATCAGGTATTGATCAAATTGAATTCAGGAAATATATCTACAAGGTAGAAATGTATGCTTTTACAAATGATCACGGTATACTTTCCTAAATCAGAGACCAAGGAGGTAATTGAATTTGTGTATATTCATCGCTTCCACTAGTATTCTAATGGACTTCCTGGCAGACTGAATGATCAACTGTGTTCCAATGAAGTTACTTTTAATAAGCTAAGGTCAGGATTTCCCAGCCATTATAGAAGGCTACCAAAATAGAATCAAGATCCAGCATGAGTTATATTTTATGATGCAGTTCTTCTGAAACCAAGCATTTATGACCTAGAAGTGGTCTAAGATCAGTGTAATATAGCTAAAGAAAAAAATTTCCCCTGTCCAATTGTGTCCGATTCTAAGGGGCAATATTCATTTCTGTTTCTTAGCTAGTGTTGTCCAAAGATGTTTCTGTGGTCATGTGGCCAGCATGACATCACATCACAATGCAGAACATGTGGTGAAACATGAAATGCTGTTACCTTCCCATCGAAGTGGTACCTATTTATTTACTTGTATTTGCATGCTTTTGAATTGCTAGGTGGGCCAGCATAATATAAGTATTACCCAAATAAAACCATTTATTGAGGCATGAGATTATTGTTGTGAGGATAAAATGAGGCATTCAGTTCTCAGAAAAAAGAATATATAAACAAAATACAGAAATTAACTGATAATACAGTTTATTACCTCTTTAGAGTTAGTGGATTCATTTCAGGTTGCCAAGATAGTAAGGGAATTATTGTGTTGCAGACAATCTGTTTAATACAAACCTAAGTAATCACTGGGTTTTTCTTTCTCCAGAGAACAAAATTTTAAAATGATTTTAGCTATTGATATTGTGACAGCACCCTCTTCATTGATTTTTATAAGATACTACATCTCAATATATGTATTGCTAAAGATTGAAGTATTAAGAAAGGAAACTAAAATACAAGAACTGTGTATTTCAGGCCAAATTAAAAACAATGTAACTTCTTTAAAGTCCATTATAATGATAGTGATTGCAATGAAACAAATGCCATCTGATGAAATTTAAGTTGTTGTCTGGAACAGTTTACTACTTTTCTAAACCACCTATAATCTTTTATAATCTACTTTAGCAAATCAATTTGGGGACAGGAAGAATATTTTTCAACTATTGTGAGCTGGCTGTTTTTACTATGATATTATCTAGGCAGAAATATTCTCGTCATATTTATTTCAATCATTTTTATCTTATTTTATGTTGTATGTTAAGACATGAGTGGAAACAGTGCAAATAAAAATTCACCAACACGAGGATGAAGTTGTTTGATGGGTATTGTTAGTATATTCTGTGAGACTGAAGTTGTTTCAGGAATAATAGTTAAACTGAAAGAAGTTAGTACACTTGCAGATGGCAGTTATAATATCATATACAAGCAATCCTTGTTTAGTGACTTGTTTAGCGATTGTTCAAAGTTACAACTGCACTGAATAAGAACACTTATAGACAATCCTCTTAGTGGCCATCCTTGTAGCACATGGTTGTAATTCAGGCACCTAGCAATTAGTTTACAATTATTACAATTACATAGTCCCGCAGTCATGTGAATGCCATTTGTAACCTTCACTCTCAATCTCTGACAAGGAAAGTCAATGGGGAAGCCAGCAAATGGTGATCACATAGCCATGCCTAACAACTGCATAGGATTCACCTAATGATGGCAATTGGAACTGCCACAACTGCTGTTGTAAATCAGTGCAGTCATGTTATATCACATTTTAAGACTGCGTTGCTTAGTGATGAATTGCCAATCCCAATTATCTTTGTTAAATGAGATCTAACCGTACATTATATCCAGAATCAATATGGTGTTCATATTGGATTTTGTGAAAGATTGATTAAAATATATATTTTCAACTGGGCTATGGGGCAACAATAGCAGGATCATCTTCTTGCTTCCTTATTGTTTTAGGTATTTTTTGATAAGGCTGATAATTTTTTTCTTTATTTACACACAAGTTTTCAAGTAACTCTATCTTCTCTTATAAGAGGATGGAAAAATATGATTTTTTTACTTAGGAAAACTGCCACCTAAATTTCTATAGCAAGTGACCTAATGAATACTTCATACTACTTTATACAACTAAAAATATGTTCTGTTTTCAGTAATAGCCTAGCCAATCAAGTTACTTCATTCAAGCATTCTCTTTATCAACCAAAACCACAAATGTTTAAAATATGAAATACTGAACAAATTCAATTATTAAAAATTTAAGCAAACTACTTTCATGTTTATCAATTTCCAAACAACATACCATTCCTGAAGCTCAGGAGAAGGAATGAGACCTGCAGTTCCATTTTTTGAATTCTCGAGTTTACCCTGCCACCAATTGTGATCATCTTTGCTAATAATCTGGATAATATCACCAACTCTAAATCTGATACCAGCTTCCTTGCAGGGAATAAGATCATCTTTTGCTGGATCATATTCAAATTGTGCTCTTACATATATCTGAAAACAATATTAAGAGACAGAAAATATTAAGTTAATATGTTAGGATTTTAGATATAATAGCTTCCATATACAGATTTAAGTTGTCCTTTGATTTTCTTTTATAAACAGCCTTTAAAATAGAATTGCAGAAGATTTGGGGCATCGTCTGAGAGAGTTGTGTAGCTATAGTTGAAATCATATATACAGCCAATATTCTGTCACATTTCAAGAAAATCCTGTCTTCCCCAGTTATAGATTTATAAAGCAGAACCTGCAGTATTTGAGAGGGTTTCATAATAATCTAGGTGAAGTTTTTGGGGAGAAATGCAGGGAGAAAGAAGCAGACAGATCTACTGCTTGAACTAAATTCAACCAAGTGGACAAATTCACACATATTAATAAACTAAGATCCAAAAATTATTTAGATTAGCAATTATACTGCAGGTTTTTTTGGAACATAATGCTAAATATGAATAAAAATATTTTAAACTACATTTTGAGTATAATTTTATTGGTCACATTACTGTTTCACCTCATGCCTCATTTATAAAAATGGAGAAATATTAACCACAATACAGGAATAATAGAAAAGCACAATTAAAGGATTATATAATATTGTGCACTAATTATATAAAAAGTATGTTAATATGAACAAATAGGGGTGATCTTTTGCTTGCAAAAAGGAAGGATTGTAGGAGTATGACTCTAAACTGTGAGAAGTGGTTTGTCCAAATATATTGAGCTCCCTCAGTATATCATCTGCTGCCAGAACAGCAAATGTTGAATTACATCTAGCTAATAAAAAGTGGCTGTCAAACTGTTACTTAATCTCAACTGGTAAGAGAAATAAAGTATATTTTCAATTAATCATTATGAGAAGCTGGGGTTCAATTTTATGAATCATCCTTGGGATAATTTATACTTACTTCATTTTAAACTACATATATTCAGTTACTAATAACATTTTTAAAACCCAGCTCACAAGCTATACACAGTACTACTTGGCAACGGTATAATCTCTCAGAATAAATGATTTTTTAAAATGTATATCACTGAGCTGACCTTGGGTGATCTCAAAAAGCTAAGCAGGATTAGCTTTTCTAAAATTAATATTTTATTTATATTATATTATATTGATATTTAATATAAGATTAATATTTGGAGATATCTAGGAAATATCAGGGCTATTGACAAGTCTTGGAAGTTGAAAAAAATATCTTGGAGAAAATAAAAGCAAAACTAGAGTATTTGAAATGCCACATGAATCTTTATGCACTAGGGAATCATTTACATTTGTTTATTTTGGGGGGTACATTTATTTTGCTTAATAATAATATATAAAACATTTCATATTTTTATTACTATTGTATGAACTAAATTCATTCCATCAAGGCATATTACAATTGGTTTACATATAATGTTAAATGATGTTTTGGAATGATTACTGTTCTATGAACAAACACGAGGAAATATAGATTCACATACTTTGCTTTTTCTGTGTGGCTGGGTTAGTGTTTTATTGCACTTTCAAAGAAACCTAAATTGGTTTTATTTATAAAATCCAAGGTCATGATTTAAAACAAGAAAGTTTACTTAATATTCTTCATGTTAAAAAGCAATTTTATCTCTGTAACTTAATGTGCATTAAGTTTTAGAGTTCTTTTAAGATCTATTAAGGTAGTTACAGATAAAATATGCAATTTCTGTATTAAGATACAGCCCAATTAAGAGTTTTTCATAAATTTTATCTATCATCCATTTACTGTTATCACACATGTTCAAGAAAATCTGAAATTGAAAGAGGTCTTTTGGTTATACAAATATAAAGAAGATATGGCTGCAATTGTTCATTTTAAAAAAATATAAACAGCCCTTCTGTTTGTAGTTAAGTTCCAGATCTTTTGAAAAATCTGGGGAAAGCTCTAGGGAATCCTTACTTGGAATAAGGTGGGGCAGACAGAAAATCCATTGAACCAACTGACATAAAGGATTTTGATTTCCACTGTTTATTTTTTTAATTTGCAATTTTACATTATAGCATCAAAGATTAAAGTATCTCAGTTAAAGATATGTACAACAATAATGGACAATTGCTTCTATTTCTTTAAAACAAAAAACCCCTAACAAACTAATTTTAAAAAGCTCTTATGGGAGTCCAATAATAAATAAAGGGTAGCAGCTGGATGTTCCTCCATACTTGCTTTTGATTCTACAAAAAACAAAAAACAAAAGTGTATTTCCCCAACCTCTGTGTTTATGTGAATGTAGTGCTAAAAGAGAATCCCCACAACTGTTTCATTTAAAAAAGGCTACTTTCCTGTCCTTTTTAATTTTTGTAATTAATTAAATTTAATACATTTAATTGTACATCATTTGCACTTTCAGCCTGATCATATATAACAAGTCATTTGTAATGATCTTATTTGAAGAGCCATCCTGCTCTCATCAGGGCAATAAAGCTACTAGAAAGCAACAATTATATATAATAGGTTTATTAAGACAAATATGCGCACAATACATGATTCTTGGATAAGATTTAATGCATAGCAATAACATGACAAAATAGCAAATCAAAATCATAAAATCAAATCAAATGAAATATGATGAGAATGTTGGTGCTGACAGACAACATGAAAGTGAATGGAGAAACTGTTAGTAAGAAAAAAACAACTTAGTATCATAGGAGTAATAGGAGTACCACATGATAAATAGTCTGTGTTGATCAGCCATATAAATAAAACACAAAATGATAAAAGCTGTAAAATCTGAATCAGCACATCATAGGATAAAAAAATTGAAATGGTAAGGAGAAAATGGTATTAAGTAACTAAGTTATGAAAGCTTTTATGGCAAATAGCTATTCACCTGTCGTCCTTTCGGTTGTGTTGTTGATGGCAAGTCCTGCAGAATAAAGTCAACCCAGGAATAGTAATTTTTCATCTTACTTTGAAAATAGGTAACAGTTTTAATGTCAAAGCTATTTTAGAGGTATTAACTATAATTATCTTCAGAAAATGTCAAACCCAGATTGTTTAGCAGCAAGCTGAAGCAGATAAAATTTAAGCAGATAGAAAGTGTGCTTTTAATAAAGAATTGATCATCTTCAACACAAAAATTCCTTAAACAAAGGAAAGTAATATTAATATTCAAACTGTATTCCTGATGAGGCATTAATATTGTTTAACATTGTAATTACAAATTGAAGCTAATATTTAATTGTATCCATTTTAGTATTTTTATCAAAATGTAATTGCAATATTTTGAAAAGTTTTTGAACTTCTCCAGAAGGTTTTTAAATGTTTAGTTTAGTGTTGACAGCAGAAATACAAAGAATATTTTTGAGGCAACGTTTTTCTACAGATACTTTTTAACATTTTACCATGTGTGTTCACAGAAAAAGTAAACAGCAGCAATATCAACAATGTTTACTAATATCTTTTTGCCTGAACATATGGTAAAAAGAACAGCACTTTGTGTTAAAGATGTGATGTTAATAGCTTGCTTGTAAATGCTTATAAAGAGAGTTTCTTTCGCTTTTCATATCCAGGCAAGGCTCATATTTCACAAAAATATGTGCAGGTACAACAATAGCAAGGGACACACCAATTCATTAACTCAGATAGCGGAAACCAATGTGGTAATCTAGAGAACTTTAATAATAACAATAGTAATAATGATGATGATGCCTAGGTCTTGAAGGCCTCAAATATCTGCTTTACAAATGTTTTGCTTAAAAACACAAACAAAAGTTCAAAATGGAAATTATTCTTTTTGTTTAACTTTGAGCTAATCAGGATAAGAATAACAAGAAGCATATTTCAAAATGATTAAAATGTTTACCTGATGGTTGAATGCAACTCATTAAAGGGATGTTCACTAGAAAATTATATTACTGAATAAACCATTGAATGAGAAAAAATAGGGAATTTTAAGTATTTTTCATTTTCTTAATAGATTGAACATAGAAAAAGAATGGTACATTAGCACCAACAAGACTGCAATACTCTCTGTCTGGAACTGGAGGTCTTACCGAAATAGAATTGTTAATGCTGCTATGGCCATTAGCTGGGGACTGTCTGGATGTAGAGGGGGAATCTCTCTGAAATAAGACACAAGGTTCATTATCACACAACACTACACAGATATATTTTAATAAACAAATACTGATAGGTTTAAAACCACTTTTGCCTTATTCTTCTTAAGAAATAATATATTTTAACTTGCACAATACACCTAAAAAGTCTATTTTTACATAGTTTGCAGTTTTAGTGAAACTGCTTATTTATTCGCTCTGTTTTCTCTTAGTAGCAGAAACATTTCATTGTGTTCATCATCTCTTCTGAAATGATTGCTTATATGATGATGAAAAATACAAAGATCTCACTCGCCTAATTATCATATAATGCAAAATCAGGTTTGTTAAACCACATTCAAACATTATAGGCTTTAGATGACTCAGTTAAAGACAATTTTATTTATTCCTAGGATAAATCTTTTCCAGAAATAACATGTGAAGTAAGTTAGCATTTTAAGATTTGGTAGTGGGAAAGTAGTATATATTCCTTTAAAAAAATAGTACTAATGATATAAGTTTTAAAATACTTCTATGGTTTTGCCATACATACATACATACATACATACATACATACATACATACATACATACTTCTTTGTAAGAAACTATTAGCTTCGTTGAATACTTTTGCAGCAAATAATTTGCATTATGAAAAATAAAGAATATAAAACAAATAATTTTGCACAGCAACATTTGAAATTAGTACTATTTTTAAAGCTTATTTTTATTCCTTTAATATACCAAAGAGAAAAAGACAAAGAAAAATGAGGAAAAGGCAAAAAAGGAAACAAAACTTTTTTATATTACAGAAAGAAAATTAATCCTTGAGCATAATATTTATCAGTATGTCTTCACTTTCTATATATGAGCTGGCTATTAAATTTATTAAGAATTTTTAAATAAATTTGATAGACAGCTCATATATAGAAAGTAAAGACATACTGGTAATTGTAAATCTGGAGTTGCTCTGTATTTCTAACATCGAACTATAATCTATTTTATTGTTGTCCAAACATGATAAATCTGTAATTCATCTTGTAATATTAGATACCGTATTCTTGGTTATAGAATTAAAACTGATATTCAAATTTTTAAACAATATTGCTCTTGTAACAAGATATTAAATACAAATTGAGTAGTAATAGCAGCATAATTCCAAATAATTTGAGTAGCGTCTCATCTGTTTTACATTTTGTAACTTAGGTTTGGTTTGGTTTATTGGATTTATATGCCATCCTTCTTTCAAGCTCAGAAACCACAGCCACTCAGTCTTGGAGGGATTGAGCTTGAGCCTGTTCTTCCCCATCCAGATCTGCACATCCTCCAGGCATCGGGACAACATATCGAGGGCATCGTTTGGGTGGTATGGGATAGAGATGAAAAATTGGGTATCATCAGCATATTGATGATACCATACCCCAAAACTCACTCAGTGGTTTCATATATATGTTGAACAGGAGGGATGAGAGAACCGACCCCTGGGATACCCCACAAGTGACATGCCTCGGGGTCGATCCCTGCCCTCCAGTCAACACAAACTGCGACCGATCCGACAGGTAGGAGGAGAACCACTGTAAAATGGTGCCCCCCCCACTCCCAACCCCCCAAGTCATCACAGTAGGATACCATGGTCGATGGTATTGAAAGCCGCTGAGAGGTCTAATAGGACCAGAACAAAGGAACAGCCCCTGTCCCA